AAAATGTCTATTCCCTATTTATATTTTCGCGACTGTAGATGAGTCCGCCGAAAATTCGCATTTCGTTTAGTTTCTAGATGTTAAGCAATCTATGTATGAGTTTTTAATGAAATATCTTTAAATAAAGGGTTATAAAAATGTTTATAAAAAGCTTTCTTTTGAAAATTTTTAGTAAGTTTATATTGATACGCTAATAAAAAACTTTTTTTGAACCTTTATTATAAGTTTACACTTTTACGCTTATAAAAAGCTTTCTTTTGAACATTTATTACAAGTTTATATTTCTACGCTTATAACCAATGTTCCTTTTCGATTATATTACGCTTACTTCCAAGCGTTTTATAAACAAAAAATCAACGTTTTGTAAGCTTAATGTTTATAATTGAAAACTTAAAAAAAACTTTCTTTAAGTTTATTTTGCTTGTTGGGGTGCTTACAACTACAACATGTACAAAACGATTTATTCATGCCAGGGGGGCCGCGGCGTACCGTGACGTGGTGTGCGCGCCGGTCGCGAGGGGTGCGCGGGGTACGCGGGGCGCGAGCACGAGCACGACGCGCGCGGTGTGGCGCGCTAACGCGGGTCGCCGCGAAGCTAAGAAAATGTAATGTTTGAAAGAGAAATAATGTCAATGGATTTTATTTCGTTTTTAAAAAGGTAATAATGTCAATTGACTTTATTTCGCACCACCGTTACCAAGATATACACATGTAACAATAAGTGGGCGTGGCTACGCCCATTCTCCAAAAATTTATAATATTCTTATTTTTCGTCTAAAAATTATTGTAAATATTAATTTTGAGTGAATAATCTTCAGTAGTTACTAACATATCGCAGTTTTCGTATATCTGAAAATTACCCTTATATGAGAGGTAGCCATGGTTACTGTCCGTTTTTGCCCATTTTCTATACCATCCGTCCTACGTACGAAAGAAATGCACGCACAAAATTTCGCTAAGATATCTCAATTTTTACTCGATTTATCGTGTGCACAGACGAACGGACGGACGGACAGACAGTCACCGCTTAATCGATTTCTCTTTTCATTCTGATCATTTATGTATACAATTGTCTATATCTATCTCGATTTGTTTTGCCTGTTACAAACAACCGTTATGTGAACAAAGTTATAATACCCGTGTGGACAAGTGCGCTAGGGTATAATAACAGCCGTTGTGTGTTTACATCCGATAGCAAATTTTGTAAAATACAAAAATGGAAAATAGCACTAAAGGGTCAGAAATGTAGGTATTTACTAATTTTATTAGCTATATAAGATAAATCCATATAAAAATTGTTTAGAACTGATTTGTTGAATCCGGGCACGAAAAGTGGTTTTTTGAGTGCTCTGGGCACTTCTGGTACGGGTTGACACATTTTTTACACCTGTGAGAGAGTAATTTATTTTTACGCTCTAATTACCGCGCCGTGCGCGCTTTCACTCACCATCACCTGGGTTCAAGCCCTGGTCAAAGCAACATCGCAAAAAATTTAGAAAAAGGTTTTTCTTAACAGCGGTCGTCCCTCGGCAGGCAATGGCAAACCTCCGAGTGTATTTCTGCCATGAAAAACAGCTTCTCATAAAAATACAATCGCCGTTCGGAGTCGGCGTAAAACTGTAGGTCCCTCCGCTTTGTGTGACAATATCAAGGCGCACGCCACAAGTTGGAGGAGAAGCTCGGCCAAACACTAACATATGTGTTAGCGCTAATCTATTATTATTATTATTATTAATTACCGAAACAGACCGGAACGCGTGTGGAACAAACCTAATAATAATACAAGGTGTCAGTGATCGGACTTCAAAAAAAATTGTGTGGTAGAATCTGGAAAAAAATGTGGTAGATTTCAAAAAAATGTGGTAGATCTCATGTTTTGGATCAAACTTTGTACAAAAATTAAAAAAATTCTGCAAGGTTTCACCTAAATTGCAAACATTTTTATTAGAATCTAAAAAAAAATTAATTTTAGCATAATAAAGTGCAAGATTGAATTTGCTAAAAATTGCGTTGAGTTTTGTTTTTAATCGAATGCCGTTCGAATTGAAGAACGCTCCGGCCACATTCCAGCCTCTGATCGATAAATTTCGATCCAAATTGCCACATATTTTAATACTAGCGTACCTAGATGACATAATTATATGCTCAAACGATTTAAACACTCATATGCAAGACTTGCGACAAACTCATTCAGAAATCAAAGAATAGAGGAAAATGTGTTTTCTGTCCAGAAGAGATAAAGTATATCGGACATATTTTAACCACGAAAGGACTTAAGGTTGATAACGAAAAAGCACATGTTGTCCTTCAGCGCCCTAATCCGAAAAATTTGAAGCAGCTCGTATCGTTCTTGCAAAGTGGCTCTTGGCATAAACGGTTTATTCCAAACTTTGCTGATGTGACAAAACCTGACAAAGAAAAATGCGAAATGGAGATGGTCCGCAGAAGAGCAGAATGCATTCGATAGACTTAAAGAGCTGCTTTCTTCGCCACCAGTTCTACAGCAAGTTGATGAAACCAAGCCGTTTATTTTAAAAACTGATGCCAGTGATTATGCGCTTGGAGCTGTTCTCCTACAGGGGGAGAATGAGGAAGAACATCCGATTGAATACGCGAGCCGCCTTTTGCTTGCAGCAGAAAGAAATTACTCTACAACAGAACGTGAAGCACTGGCCATAGTTTGGGCTCTACAAAAGTTTCGCGGGTATGTAGAAGGTTCAGAAATTGCCGTTTTAACTGACCATCAACCACTTAAATGGCTATTTAGTGTAAAAACACCCACAGGACTTCTTGCTTGGTAGGCGTTGCAACTTCAAATGTATAATTTGAAGCTGGGGTATACAGCAGGCAAGCAAACCGTTGTGGCAGATATGCTGTCTCGCCCACCCTGTTGCGCTGAGAATAAGTGTAATGTTAACTCCTTTGAGATAGACTTTCCTTGCAAAGACGCCGACGAGTTCATGACGAAAATGTTACCAGACATACAAACCGAGGATACATCACATACATACATGGTTAATGGTGTACTACACCGATTCTGTTCAGATGAAATGGTCAACTAGTAGTACCCAAAAGTTTAAGAGAAACAGTTTTAAGAAAATTTCACGTGGGTCCAACTGCAGGACATTATGGAATTGATCGCACTACCAGCCGAATCACCAGCCGCTTTATTTTTGGGCGGGGATGCGCGCAGACATTTCCCAGTATGTAAGTCTTGTGTTGAATGCAGTAAATATAAGCTCACCAATAAGAAACCAGCTGGTTTGCTCCAAACCGTTTCAAGCAATCGGAGGTTTGAGGTAACCGTTGGATACTGGTCGTGGAGGACTTGTTGGGTCGAACTTTTTGCACTAAGGGAAGCTTCAGCAGAGGCTTGCGCAACCACAGTTTTAAAGGAAATTGTGCTGAGATTCGGGGTGCCACGGCGTTTACATTCAGACAACGGAAGTCAATTCATTTCAGCCGAAATGCAAAAGCTAGCCTACTACGGAAAGGAAGAACAGGGACCTCAAAAGTCAACTAGCTATTTACGTCGGCAGAGATCATACTGCTTGGGACACATGTTTACCAACGATAAGATTCGCAATGAATTCTGCTAAATGTGAGAGCACTGGCTTCCCGGCAGCATACCTTACGTTTGGGAGAGAGCTAAGATGCCACTTGAAGCACACTACGATCTGAAACGGGTAGTCGAGGCAGAAAACTTTGTGCCGCAAATAACGCCTCAGTTTACTAAACTTGCGAACACATTGAAACTAGCAATAGAAATAAAAGAAAAACATCAACACAAGAATAAACGTTATGTAGATAACAAACGTCGACCTCATCCAACATTTAATATTGGCGATAAAGTACTCGTTGCAGCACACATACTTAGCAAAGCAAGTGAAAAAGTAACGTCGAAATTTGCCACATGTAGAGATCGACCATACCACATCTCTGCCAAGAAAGGATCAAGCTGTTACGTTATCGCAACTAACGAGAAGTCGGATGAGCCTATTGAAACGTATCACGCCACTGCATTGACTCCATATGAAGGCCCGAATGTTGACCCAAAATACCAACACAGGAACCCTGAAGGAAAGATTGGTCCAATCGAGGACAACGGGTACAATTAACGACTTGCTGATATGTAGGCACTTAGTCAACAAATTTTCATGTGCGACGTTGGCAAGTTGAAAGAGTATCCGCTTAGAAAATCTGAGAACCCTGGTTCAAATCGCAGCTGGCGCAAGTATTATTTTTTTTTTCCCCCCAAAAAATTGGTTACAATGTAATGCAGAAGCGGACAATTGGTCCGTTCCTAGGACATTCAATGTTAAATGTAAATAGAGTTTTACATGTTTTTGGGCCAAACTTTGGACTAGTTACAATCACTTTCAGTCTAGTTTGTGGTGTGCTCTGAGTCTATTTCGAGATCCTACAGGGAGCCTACGCAACACAACAACAGTGTAATTAATGCCCACAACAGTAATGCCAATGTCTCGACTAGAGTTCTACGTCCACAAAAATGATATGGAAATGCTGACTGCATTATCGGGGCGCTTTCTGCATCAGAGGGGGAGGCTGTAGCGACTGTATCCGGAAGCACGCATGCTATATTTATTATCATGCTCACTTATATACTTATGTTATCATTTATACATGTTATTAGTCATGTTAGCCCTGGTTAGTTAAAAGCTGATGTTAAAAGCTTACGTTAAAGATCTATTATTTCATTATGTTAAGTAAAATTGCATTAGGCTCAATTGCTTTTGATCATGTAAAAATCCACCGCATTTGTACTTAATTTTGCGAATGTTTATAACTGTTGTCCCTTTTTGTTTCAAATCGTTTCAATTTTGGTTATTTAAGACACTGATGGGCACTGCCTTGCCCGCGGGCAAAGCTCTTTTAAGCTTTCTATACATTTTGTATAGGCGCATGCAGAGTAAGAGCTCTCCCTGCCTATCGCTGATTTAAGATCATGCTCCAATGTAAATTCTTTCATCCGTACAGCGACTAATAAAGACACATCATCTACTATCGGAAACCTCTTTGGGTTTTATTTTAAAATTCGGTCATCGTGCTTAGTGGAGCTTAGACACTGGTAGACAGTATTGACTCTTGTGGCTAGCTTTACTAAATACGAATGTGCGATTAACTTAGGGATAAACTAATTCCCTGAGAATGTTATATTTTCCCCTCCAACGGGGATTAAGTTCTTCCCGTTTTTCTTCTTATTCTACTGAGTTAAGGCAGTATCAAATCGAGCTGTCACAACTGATACCGCCTTGTATTATTGCATCATTGGTCAGCGCATACTACATGAGTACCCAAAGTAAATAAAGAATGAATGGGGGAATAAGGGAAAAAAGCTTAGGGAGTAACCAATCAGTGTTATTGGTTAGTAAATAAGATATTTTATAACTAAACTATTGTAATAGATTGCAAGCATGTTGTAGTATATATATCGGCGATGAGTCGATGAATAAACATTCTTTCACTCAGCTCCAATTGACGTGTTTGAATCACAAATGAGCGTAATATGCTTGAACAAAGAAGCCGGAGGGCATCGTACAGCCCAAACATTAAGGTATTCTGACGAACTTTTGTTCTGACGACTTCGTCGTTGCGAAAAAATCGTCAGAACAAAATATCGTCAGAATACGCATCCATAGCAACCGCAGCCTTAAGCAAAAGCATCCATAACTTACACATTCGTGGGTGCACTGATGTAGAAGGCATTCCGACGTGTACTGTCATGAGCCTTCACTTGTACGACCAAACCAAGCCCCGAGGGCGGTGGAGAACGCAATCGTGCCAAAAGCCAACGAAAGGATTCAACAGGCGCATCTTCCGGAAATTCAATAACAACATCACATTGTGTAGGTATTTTATTTAACCACAGGCGGCGCGGAGTCATTAAGTGCCCAGCATAAGGCAATTTCCGACGTAATTGGCGGGAAGCTAGAAGAGATGTAAAAAAATTATTATTTAAGGTATGTACAATTAATATGAAATATGAAGCACATACATATTTAAGTGCAACATTCATAACTCAAATAAAGTGAAAGGTAACAAATATGCATGGTTAAATAATACATGATATGAGTAAAAATTCCTCAAGTGGCCCCCTCGATTTTCACAAGGTAACGAATATTGCAATGAGTAATTGCATTTCTTAGCTTGAGTATATACAAATATATCAGCAAAATATTTTGCCAGTATTCGATTTTTTATATAATTTTTTTTAACCTTAGGTTTACTAATACCCACCCGGTTTACTAATACCTCACCCACTTTTCAGAATTTCATTTCGTGATTACTCAAGACGACTTGTTCCTACCTAAAAATGCTCTCTGCTCACTGAACAAAATTATCGAATTCACTCATTAAATTTAAAAAATTTAATTTTTTTCGAATTACTATTTTTATAAACTTTTTCATTTTATATACCGTCACTAGACACGCATAATAAAAACTGCAGCGAAGAAAGACTCTTAACATAGTTGACGGCGAAGAAAGACGCGTTAAAATATTTGACGGAGAAGAAGGACGTGTAAACTTATTTTAGTGGTCAACTATGTTTGCGGGTGTAATATTATGTACAATCCGTTAATAGTTTTTGGGGAATAGTGCTGAAGTGACAGTCCTTGGCCAAGTATAAATCTATGATTACGCTTCTTTTTTCGCCGTCAACTAGCGCATTTTTTCGTAAAAGTTTTTATAAGTCTTTTTTCGCCGTCGAAACCCTAGCGCGCCTTTATTCGTGTCTAGTGACGATACGCCGTTTACCGGGACCCACCCAGGTGACCACCGTACATTTCTCCATATACACACATACATATTGTCTGTACTAAAATTCAGGTCGTAGCCACACGAAACAGAATAGAACTCCACATCTGTTCAATCTGCTGGTTTTCTTAATTCTACTCTTTATTGTCACAAATTTGTAGGAAGAACCCAAACAACGGTAATATTCAGAATATGTTCTTATATACTGCATGAAATAAATTACTTCAAGTTCAACCTTCAGCTCAAGGTTAAACACAAAGTATGTGCAAACAAATATGCATATTTATGTAATTACAGTATATTCTGCTTTGCTGCCTTTATGCTTAAGTGTACATTTAAGATACCTATTCCAAAAAGCGCATCAGCTTCATTATTCTTAACATTTATAAGGAAACTGCTCCGATAGGTGCGTTCAACATACCTCCACATTTGCCATACCTACCTTAAACATTATGAAACTATTATCAATTATCAAAGAAATTATTACGTTTACCTGAACTGGCTCTACACTTATCTACCCTAATTTTACAAGCATTCATTTATTTTGCTCATCTCGCAAAATAACGAAAACGGCTATAGTGTTATGTAGTTACATAGATAGTTAAACACCATTCGGAAAAAACTTGGGTGGTGGAATAAGAATCAAAAATTTTGGACGCCCAAGTGTGATAGACATTTTATTTTATTATATTATTTATTGTTTATAAATGAATTATATTTTTACAAATCATATGTTTTGAGAAAAATACACCGTGGTAATTTAAAAATTTCAAAATTACATTTCTCGTCTAAAAAATAAGATATTCGAGCTAGCTCAACGGCAAACAGTGTGCTTTTTTAACACTTCATGCCAATTAATCGCAGCGCTTTCGACAGAAGCAATATTTTCATATGAAGCAAAATGGCTTTGAAAGCTAATTTAATTTCCTTTCAGGGAAAAATATTGCCATTGAGCCGAAATCACTCCTTGACCTTAAAAAAATTGGCCAAAAATAGTGTTCTTTAAAAAAAACTATACTAATATTATAGATTTTGAGACGAGGAACACGATTCCACTGTTTAAAAAACGAAAAAAAAATTGCAACCCCTCAATTTGAAAAATGCATTATATAATGCATATTTTATTTGCATACAGCTGTGCATCCTTCACACAATTTTTATCCCTCGAACAACAAGTCAGTTTTAGTGCTATTCAAGACTTTTAATTTAAGCCAAGATAGAAGTCTCTAGGCCCTTTGAGAGCTAAATTATTACGATTCAAAAGTTGAACTTCGAAATTTCATTCGACATTTTGCGCAAATTTTTTTTTGTCTAATTTCGGAGTAAAAACTAGTACAGCAGTTTCGAAGTTTGGTTTAAAATTGTAAAACTTGGCTCTCAGAGGGCCTAGAGGCTTCTACCTTGGGTAAACTTAAAGGTCTTGAATTGCACTTATTGTTCGAGGGATATAAAATTGAGTGAAGGATGCATAGCTGCATGCAAATAGAAGAAAATGCAATAAATAATGCATTTTTTAAATTTAGGTGTTCAACCTTTTTTTCGAATTTTTAACAGTGGAATCGTGTTGCTCGTCTCAAAATCTATAATACTAGTATAATAAAAAATGCATAAATATTTTGTTTTGGAATAAATCCCGTGTATTTGCATGTTTTTTTTTTCGTAGAATACTACTTTTGACAAATTTCTTTAAGGTCAAGGGGTATTTGGGGCTCAGTGGCCACAATTGAAAGGGATTTACTTTAGCTTTCAAAACCATTTTGTTTCGTATCAAAATGCTGCTTCCGTCGAAAGCGCTCCGATTAATTCGCAAGGACATTAAGGACAAGAGATGTATTTTAAAATGCTGTGCATATTTTTCAGATATGAGTTCAGCGACAAAATCTATAAGAAATGGCCAATTTCATATCAGAAAGATATTTCAATTAGCACGAAATTGTTCCGGAAGTAGAATCACAATACCAAGAGTATAATTGAAATTCTTAACCAAACTCGGATTTCTCGACCGACTCGGATTTGGGAGGGGAAATTTCCCCTATTTCCTACCCTGTGCTAGTTGTTTTGTTGTTGGAATCGCTACATATTTCTCTCGTTCCTCTCGTCTCGCTCACTTCATTTTTTTTTGCTGTCTCTTGTTATTGTATTTGATACATAATTTCGCTGCTTGCTACCCATGCATGCTACCACTTCGCAATGGGTTGCTCTCGTACTTTTCGAAATTTGGAATAGTATTTTTGCATTTCGTGCCTCGTGCAAGGCTTCGAGAATACCCCTAATATTCTGTATATCAATGTGTACATCGAGCATGGGCGCATAGGTCCCTGCGCATGGTTATATATACCTATGTACGTGGCTGTTCGGGAGCTCACTGCGATCATAACTGCTTGTACGAATTCGCCTTGGTTGGAACAGTGAACAGTGCTGCACAAAAATACGATGTGACCTTTGTGCTCAAACATACTCCCCCATTGAAAAGACAAACCTTTCTAGCTGAAATTGGTAATGGGGCCGCTTTGTGAGCTGCTCTTCGAATAATTCCTTTGAGGTTTTTACGTCTGCTACACGTATTTTGCCATCGGCACCTGGGATTGTTTGCGTGATTCTTCCTAGTAACCATTTTTTTGGAGGCAATTGTCTTCATGTACAATGCAATGACGAGCCGACCAAGTTCAATGTTGGGTTGAGGTTGGAACCATTTTGAGCGCTGCTGCAGACTGTGGTAGGTGATGCGTTGAAATTGCGTTAAGCGAGTTACTTCTGCGTTTCTAAAGTGATCGTCTGGCAGTGCGAGCAAGAATGAACCAATTAATAAATGAACTGGAGTCAAGGCTCCACCGTCATCGTCATTCGGATCATCAGTCAGTGCAACAAGTGGACGCGAGTTGAGTATAGCTTCTATTTAAATTAACTACTGTTGCCTGAAGTTCTTCATATGTTAGATTTGCACCGGATGCAATCGTCTTCATGGATTTCACCGCAGCTTCCCACAAGCCGCCAAAATGTGGTGCGCGGGGTGGGATAAAATTAAAAGTGAACCCTGCGTTATTGGTGTAGGTTGGTATGCCTTCTAATGCTGCTTTGATGAATAGGCGTTGTTCCTTTAATCTTCCGCAACCAAATTGGTGCCATTGTCGCAGTATATACGCTGTGGTAGCCCGCGGCGACCTTTAAATCGTTTGAGGCAAAGAATTAAATTATTACGTGACAAATCTGAAACTAATTCAGTATGAACCTCTTTCGAGGAGAAACAAAAAAAATTGCGACATATGCTTTATAAGATGGCTTTCCACGAAGTCGATATGATGTGGCAAAGGGACCGCAAAGGTCAACGCCACTAATTATAAATGGTCGTTGTTGTCTTAGGCGGTCTGCTGGAAGGTTTGCATTATTTGTTCCATAAGCTTGGGTTTGTAGTAGAAACAGTACACACAGTCATGCAAACAGTCATGCAACACCTTTCCCTTGCATTGACGATCCACACCTTTTCGCATAGAAGAGTAATTAGCACTTTGGCTCCTACATGTAAGTGCTTAGATGAAGGTGTTCGACGAAAAGTTTCGTAAACCGGTGTTCCTTTGGTATTAATGGTGGAAATCGGGCGTCATATGGCATTGGCGCGTTGGCTAATCTTCCACCAACCCTTAAAGTAGTAATAGAACCTTCATCAATTAGCATTTCGTGTAAAAAAGGTGTCAGGTTTTGTAGTGCCGAAACAATGGGCTTGTCTGAGCGTAGATTTTAGACTTCCGACTCGTAGTACTTGGTTAACATTTTCCAAAAGGTTTTTTCCAATTCTTCGTGCGATACCGATGTCACTTGTGAGGATGAAATGTTTCTATTAACTCGTGATCCGTTAAAAACACGAACGACATTATTTGAAGTATGCGTTGATATGTAGAATACTGAAAAAATTTATCAAAATTTCAAACTTGTTTATCAGAAATGTTGAAATTTTTTATGAGTATACAGTTTTATAGCCCATTAAATTTTAGTGTAATAATGCGCAAGTTTCAAGTGGCTAAAAATTACCGTTGAGTTTTTACAATTTCTTTGCCGAAGGTGTGTAGCGCTGCCACTGAATTTCAAAATAAAAATAATAAATGTTTGAAGAAATTTAAAAGAAGCACTTAAGAGGGGAAAATTATAAGTAAAATGGTAAATGGGGTACGAAAAAT